ATAAAAATTCATAGTCTGGAATCCTGAGGTTCAAGACCATGCATTCACTAACAAATAAATAATTGGCACTGTTTGCAGTTGGGGCACTGCATGCATTGTTCACACGGTCTACTCTAAGATACGGTATATATATGTGACTTGTCACATCTGCAGGTTGGGCATGAATTATCACAAAACGAGCGTTTTGTATAAATCCTAACAATGTTTTACTCATTTCTAGGTTCAGAAAAAAAAAAAACCCTAGAATTCTTTACGTCAAAGTCTGAATTTCATTCAGTTGAAATCCTACCGTATTTAATTAGATAATTGAGTTGAGTCCTCTGTAACAATCAGTGTTTCGGAACTATGCAGTGGAACATACACATCACTCTAACAGAAGCAGCACGGTACGCTTTGAACTGGTGTGAAGAACCACTGCACCTGTAGGCTGATGGTTGAAGTTTCTAGAGCTGAGAAGTGGAAAGTTAGCAGCAGGAAAGGGACCAGCAACTGGCCATCCTCCTCAGAAGGTTGGCGGAGTCCTGCCTTTCCACTGCTACACCAAGGGCCCTGTCATCAGTGTCTTACGCTCACGTCAATAAACCAGTTCTTTCACAAGGTCAGACAAAACGCTTCTGTCCATTAATCTACGGCTTCAACAGTAGTCACACGTCTCTGCGACTCACTCTACGGGATTAACGCCTGTAAAGAGTTTCAACCAGAATCTCTGCAAAACATTGGCTTTCATTCTATTGCCTCAGTAGCATTGGCCAAGTCCCACTTCTCTGTGTTTGAAATGTTTACAGGGTGACCCGGGGACTGACCAAAGGCCTGGAGAGGTCACCCAATGGCCTGGCCCCTCAGACTGCCCAGAACTCCATGACTGTAGGAAGAGGCAAAGTCTCTGCTTCAGTAGTTCCCAAGTCTGGCTATTTGTCAGTCACTGGACAGCTTTTAAAAAAGTGCAAGGTCCTGAGTTCAACCCCCGGTACCAAGAAAAAAGACAAAACCAAAAAACAACAAAAACTACAAACTATCCAAAAAAAAAAAATCCATAGTCAATAAATCATTAACATATAACCTTCAGGGTGTAGCCTCAGAATTTGCACTTATTTATTTATTTTGTTTTGAGACAAGGTCTCACTATGTAGTTGAGACTGACCTGGAACTCACTATGTAGCCCAGGCTGGTCTCGAACTCACAGCGATCCTCCTGCCTCAGCCTCCTGAGTGCTGGGATTATAGGCATGCGCCACCATGCCTGGCAATTGACTACTGAATTTACTGAACACACAGCTATTGAGTACTGACAGTACACCAGGCCTTCACTAGTTCCTTTCACAATTTAGTTCACTGAACTCTCACAATGTTCTTTAGGTAGACACTGCCGTGCCAGGTGGTATATGGGAGATGGGTGATGCAGAGGTTAAAAAAACTTACGAACAATAAAGGAATATAGAGAGAAGAAGATCAGAATACACTGTCAAGAGGAATCACAGTCAGGATCATTGAGGTTTTTGTATAGGGTAATGTGGGAAAAGGGATCTTGACAGCAAATCAAGAAATCTCAGGGATGTTTTTTCTGGGTTTCCCAGTTTCTGCTGATCCTTCAGGAACATTGTCACTGTTGCTAAAGTTGCACGCTAAAGTTGCAAACTGTCAAGGCCTTGTACTTAGGCTTCACAAAAGGCCCTTCAGACTCAGATAAGGATATCTGTATGCTTTAACTTTTTGTTGGGAGAAAGATGATGGGTCATTACACCACTGGAAGGAAAGAACAGTTCTTATATTTAGCTTTATCCTGTGCTGTTTCTAGTCAGAATCAGTGCAAGGCTGTGGTAGACTAAGCTGCTAGCCTGTCCTAAGTAAAAACCAAAGAGCCTCCATGTTGACCCGCTGAGCACCCCACCACCACAGACGCGTCGTTACCCATGACAACGGGTTTGCGTAAAGAAGTGATCTAAGTCATTGCCTAGTAACATTGTGTCATGCTATTGTTACATTCTCCTCCCAAAGTTTATGGTTAACTATTTCCTCTTACAATTTTGCGGTTTTTGCCTTTATAAACTGCCTGTATCTGCAAATAAATGAGACCTTGACAACTCTTTGCTTGGTCTCCTTCTTTCCGCGCCCCTCTTGTCTCATTTCCAGGTACTTGCCCTTCTCGAGCTCTGCCAATTACTGACCCCGCGGGCCGGGGCACGAGGCCTCATAACTGCCTACGTGACACGCAGGACCGTGTCAGCAGAGAAATGCTGGGTGCCAAAACTTTAAACTTTTCAGTCACCGTGGTTATCACCCTTTAAAGTTGACTTAAAGAGAGATCATCCTTGAAAGGCAAAACAACCACTGCTCAGGGCAAGCAGAACACAATGGCTTTAGGGAGGGCAGGGGCACATCGGGGAGGGATGGGACAGGAGCTGAGCAAACTCACCAATGAGTCAAGCACTTCATTGACTGCTCGAGGGGGCTGGAACCAGACAGAATACTTCTGACTTGTAGTGACCCCCCATGGACCAGGGCCCAGCTGTCCTCCTGAGAAACACTGGGAATCAAGTGCAGTGGTCCAGGGGAATCTCAAAAGGAAAGCAACAACAACAACCCAAACTAAACCCAACACCGCACCACAGGGGAGAGCATTAAATGAAGAAAAGAACCCGTGCCATACCTAGAGATTCCCACACCTACAAACTCTGACTCAGTAGGTCAAGGACAGGGCTGGGCAGTTTACATTTTAAAAGCTCCCCAAGGGGTGTGTGCCTTTGAGAACCTTACATTAAGGAGCCACTGATAAAGTAGATCTGTGGTGATGTCATATTGGTCAACCACCTTAGAGACTGTAGCCCAAGCCCTTGATTTTTATTTGGCTGGTGTGGCTCAGAGAGCCATGGATTTTATTTATACCCTAGAAAAAAATCCAAAGTACAGAAATTGGGCCAGAGATTTAGCTCAGTGGTTCCGCCACCTGCCTTGCAAGTGCAAAGACCCGAGTTCGATCCCCAGTACCAAAAAAACAAAACAAAATAAACCAAAGTACACAAACCCTTGCTTAATACTATGAATAAACTATGAAACATTATACTGAATTGTTTTTTCTCTTGCATTACTGCTACTTGGTTCATTTCTTTCTTCTTCTTTTTTTTTTTTTTTTTTTTTTTTTTTTTTTTTTTTTTTGTGTGTGTGTGTGTGTGTGTTTTTGTGTTTCTTTGTTTTGGTGCCAGGAATCAAACACAGGACCTTGCACTTGTGAGGCAGGTGCGGGGCCACTGAGCTAAATCCCCAGCTCCAACTTGGTTTATTTCTTATGGTAGAAATGTACTTTACAAACCAGAACAAAATTCTATTACATATGTCAAAGACCATTAAACTAAGAACTTCCTTTTTGGGGGGTTGTGAGTGAAAAAAATAACCATCAGTAAATAACACAAATAGCAGAAGAGTCCATTTGTCTCTTGTAGTACAAAGTCCAGAAGCTGGTAGGTGTGGTTGGTATTGGTCCCATATTTCGGGAGGGTGGAGTTGGTATCTCAACAGTTCTCGATTTTTTTTTTTTTTTTTTTTGAGACAGGGTCTCACTATGTAGCTGTTGAGACTGACCTGGAACTCACTATGTAGCTCAGGTTGGTCTGGAACTCACAGCGATCCTCCTGCCTCAGCCTCCTGAGTGCTGGGATTACAGGCATGCGCCACCACACCCGGCTCTCAATAGTTCTCTTGGTGACAGCTCCAGCCAGCCTGCATTCAAGACTGGATGAAGGGAAGAGACAGGTGTTCGACTCCCCAGACTGCTATCTCATGGCCACTTCTGGCTGCAAAAGAGTCAGGGAAATTGAGTGTTTTGCTTTAACAGTCTTCTGTGGTTGAGGCACAGGAAAGGAAAGAGGGGAGGAATTGGAGTCCAGTAAGCCAAACTACCGTGTCAGCCACAGTTTTCAAGTTAAAAGTTATCAAGCACGTCTTTAATTAAATGTAGAAGCAGCTGGTCAGTTGGAAAATAGTAAATCATCACAGAAAGTATTGATATGAAAATCAGGCATAAAGATCTCCACTGTCAATAATGCTACATATTTGTACTGGTCTTTCATTCTCTGTTGGAATTAATTCTAGTTGTTTAAGAACTTCTGTTCCTTCGATCAATTGCCTACGTAGGAGAAAGAGCAAAAAACAGTCATCAGTTTCCACATTTAGCTTACGTGCCCCAACAGCTGAGGATGTCACTTACGCATTCAATTAACTGCAGTCAAAAATGTCCCGAGTCGCTCTAGGTTTGTCGATCTTGTCTCATCTGCACCTAGTCCCACCAGCCAGACTGTCACACCTTTCTGATGGAAGATGGAATCTGAGGCTGCCTGCTGTAGTAGCTCCCAGCAGGGCTGACCTCCTTGTCACTGCTCTGGCACTTGTCCCATCCCTTGTCACTGCAGTCCGATGGATCTTTTAGAAATTCAACTATGATACCACTTCCTTGCTCTACAGATGTAACGGAGACTAAAACTCTCCACCGTGGCCTACAAGGGTCTTCGTGGCTCCTACCGCCCCCCTCCTACTTGCCACCTGTTCCCAGTCGCTCTCTGCTCCACACCAGCTGGCTCTCCGAACATCAAAAGCCCTGTGCTCCCTCCCTTCCCCAGCTGTCCCTAACCCTTGCTCTTTCACCTCTGCTGGTCACCAACGGGCCTCCTCCGGCTCTCAGCTCAGTCCTCGTTTCCTCAGGGACGTTTCCTGAGTCTCTCTACCAGTCAGGTTTTCTCTCACCTTCAGGCGGTTCCCAGGTGAAACTTTACATGTATTTACTTGTATGCTGCTTCAGTTAACTTCTGATTCTCCCATGAAGGCAACGATGCTGCTTTAGCTTGAAGGTCAGCGCCTAACACAAGGCCTGCCAAGCACGAGCCCCTCAACCAACAGCCACAGAGTGTGTGAAGAGAAGCTCAAAGCCATGCTAGCCTGGACCTCTGGGGACACTCACTGGCCGTGAGTAGGAACTCCCTGAGGAGGGAAGTTAGACTTCTGATGGCTCTTTCCTTTAAAAGACGGTGGCACGGGGCAGCAAGATAGGCCTCGATACAGTGCTTGGGCTGGGGCAGTGGCTCAGGGGGAGGGAGTAATATCATGATCCTACACAGGTGTGAAGTTACATACCAGGCTCTAGCCTTCTCTCAGTCTGCCCCTGGGCTCTATTTTGCCATTTCAGTCAGAAGCCTTGACACAGGGTGCTATGGTTTGAGTGCCACGGCCCCAAGAGCTTACAGTGAGTGAAATGTTAACTGCCACTGTGACGGTACCAAGAGATGAGCAAGACTTTTAAAAGGTGATTCGTCAGGCAAAGCCCTCGTGAATGCTTAATGCCATTTTATGAAGGAATTTATTACCTATCTCTGGAGTGGGCTCCCTATGAAACAGTAAGTCCAGCCTCTTCTGCCCCTTCCTGGTTCTTGCTCTCTCTCATGTGCTTTCTGACCACGTGACACCTTCCACCATGTTATGACACATCATGGAGGCCCTTGCCAGACACTGCTCCATGCTCTTGGATTTCACACACTCTAGAACCACGAGTCAAATAAATCTGTACTGTTCATAAATTAACCAGTCTGTGGTGTTCTCTCACAGCAACGGGAAATGGACGAACACAGCATCCCCCAACCTTTCTAACACCAGGGAACAGTTCTGTGGAAGATAAGTTTTTTCCAAAGTGCAGAGTAGGGGTGGAGATGGATGGATGATGATGATCGTGGTGACGGTTTCTGGATTTTATTCTCATAAGGACCACAGAAGCCAGATCCTCTGCATGTGCAGTTGACAGGTTCTTTTTTATGAGAATCTAATGCTGCTGGTGATTTGATGCTCAGGGGGTGACGCAAGCGACATAGATGAAATTTTGTTAATTCTTCTGCTGCTCACCTCCTCCAGGGATTGGGGACCCCCGGACTAAAAGACTAGCACAAGATACATTCTGAGGCTGAAAAGCCGAGGAGAAATGGACAGGTGTGCTTCTGTCCAAGGAGGGCAGAAAGTAGAAGGCTCTTCTCCAGGTAGATTTCCCAAATACTGAATAAGTGTTCGCTCACGTGCACCTGTCCACTGTGACAGGTGTTAGGGTAGAAGATGAGTTGAGACCGAGTCCCCGATGTGAACTGTTCATAGTGTGACAGAGACAAGAAGAAATGCCTGCTTTCGGTAATTAGAAAGGTTTGTGAACTAAATCTGGAACAGTATTTCAGCTGACTGCAGAGAGGCAGAAAAGAACAAGATAAATGAAGCCTACAGACGGTTGCAGAAGTGTAGCATTATGATCTGCCTGCTGGGGAGCCCCCTGTCTACAAAGCATATCCACATTTCTATCTGTAGCCCTGACCCAGCCTGGGAAGCTTCCAACCGGCTGTCCTACAGATATCTCCATCGGAGACACACCCCGTCCAGCCTGAACTCCTGATCTTCTTTCCCCAAGGCTCCTCTTTTTATCGTCCCCCTTGGTGAATGGTACTAACCATTCACTCACTTCCCAAGCCCTACGAGTTGCTAGGGACCTTCACTGGCCAGGGTAGTAGCCACTAGCCACATGTGGCCATTTAAATTCACTTAGAGTCAAGTAAAATACGGTTCCTTCATTGTATGAGCCACATTTAAGAGCTCATTGTGGCCAGTGGCTGTAATACTGGACAGTACAGATGTAAAGACATTTGTATCAGCACAGAAGATTCTACTGAACAGCACCGATCCGGACTCCTGCTGTGCCTTCCCTCTCAACACCTACACCTGGGAATCTGACTTCTCAATACAACTTGGATTTTGTCCACTCATCCCAGCTCACCTGTACTACCAGGGCCCTCAATCGACTCCAGTTACAGCCTGTCATGATCCAGAGCTTCTGAACTGGACTCTCTGTTCTTGGTTTTCATGTGTTGCTATTTCACTTGTCATTTCTGTTAAACGCATCTTTTCAAAATGAGATGCAGGTCATGTCGCCCACGATACAAAGTTCTTTCATGACTCCCACCACCTCTGAGAGAGGCCCTGGCTGGGCAGCAAGCTGTAGCTAGATGAGTTCTTTCTTTCTGCTCAAGGCCTTTCTGCAAGTATTCCTTCACTCTTATTTTTAAATTAGTTTTATTGGTACATTTTAGGTATACAATATAATGTCATTCATCAATGGAGATTTGTACCTTTACATAATAAATCTTGATTCTTCAAGATTCCTTCATTCTTCATAAGGTGATTTGACTAGATGTGACTTCTATCCTTCTGTGTTACATTCCCTACACAGCTCACCTTATGAAGCTTTCTATGATCCTCTCCCCCGCCTTAAATCCATTTTAAAACGAAACTGATTACCCCAGAACACACCCATTTCTACTTGATATGTATGAAGGGAGAAAGATCTTACAAGTTTTAAAATCCTTCCCCTTCCCCTATGAGGCCGTGGACAAAAAGCCATGTTTTTGGAAGGGTATCCCCCAAAGCATCCACCCACAGACGCCTCTGCTAGAAGCTAGAGCTTAGAAGAAGGGCCTGTCACAGACAAAGAAGAAACTTCTGTCTCTGTCTCTGTCTGTCTGTCTGTCTGTCTGTCTCTTTCTCTCTCTCTCTGGATCTTGTTAGCTACATCTGGGCTTCCAGAAGCTGAGATACACATGGGGGAAGCTAAGAGAGGACGGAAAAGAGGCCGCCCAACAACCGGATCCGGAAGGAGTTACACTTCATCTGGTTTAACTAGACTGTCTGGCTCCCCATTATCTTAGCACTCTCCTCCCTCCGTTCTGCAGTCCTAAGTATCCCAGCTCAGCTTCAACTGTGGCTTGGAGATTCAACTGAGATCAGACTGGGGCCAGAGCCACAGAAGGGGTGCAGTGCCTCCCTCAGGCCAGAGTGGTGATGACAACAAAATTATGTCCTCAAAAAGTGAATCATTAAGACTAGGAACCGTGGGAAACAAGACCAAGCACTCTTTCACTCCACTGCCATCCTGTAGGGATCCGCATTTGTGTTTACTAAAGGAGGTGGGAGTGTTGTATTACCTTAGCCTCAGACATTGCCCGTGCTCACTTTACTGAGCTTGCACGGGCGGTGCACTGTCTTGCAGTGTCACACAACTGCTCTTTATTCATTTTGTTTTGTTTTAAATCCATCTTCCCGAATGTACTCTAAACTCCCCAAAGAGGAGTTGTGCGGGGTGTGGTGGTGTGTGCACGCCTGCAATCCCAGCACTCGGGAGGCTGAGGCAGGAGGATCGCTGTGAGCTTGAGACCAGCCTGGGCTACATAGTGAGTTCCAGGTCAGCCTTAACTACATAGTGAGGGTCAGGGATTTAGCTCAGTGGTTCCACCGCCCATCTCGCAAACGTAAGGTCCCAAGTTCCATCCCTGGTACC